GTTTAGGAATAATTAAGGAAAAATCAAATTTTTTGCCAAAAGTTCGTCGTTTCGACGCTGGGATGGTCGGATTTTGTCAACATCAATAAAATGCCAATTAATCATACTTAACTCGTTAAATATCGATATTAGAAGGAAAACAACTTTTATTTGAAGCATTTTTCGAAATCTTGAAGAAAAAAATTTTTCGTCGGCGTCAATACTTAATTAGATATTTCCTTCTATACTTTTTAGCACGTAGCTATTTATTATTAGCATTGTTCTTCCGACGTCTGATTTCTCTTTAATTATAGGAAATTCGTTTTTCTAAGGTACATAAACTTTTGGGATTGACTGTATAGCCAATACATCCTTATCCTTCATTGAGCTCCATCAAATGCAGGATATGTTCTAATCGATTGAAGGAATAGTTATTTTATATTGATTCGATCGTGTATGCAGGAATTAATGGTGTACATCTGGAGTATGATTTCTAATAGAGAAGTTGCTATCCCAGTAGCCTGTCCAGGCGAAATCAGGAAACTGGAGCGTTTCGATTAGATTTCTAAAATGATAGGTACTCCCTGAGGGTGGCGAAGCGTTGATCTAGCAATTTTCCAAGGACCGAAACCAGTCGTGCAACCGAGGGAAGTTCGACGGAAACGTAGCTGGATTTAATTGATCTCTAAACTGGATCCAAACTTGATCTCCGATCTATGTTATGCACGTAGGACACGAGTGCTTAGATATATGTTGCGAGTTAGATGGTTCTTTCTCGAGAGACCGACTATTTCTCGAACGCGTTACCGGTAATGTTCTCGCTTCTGGTACACCTATGGTATTCCTGTCTCCCTGTAATTAGAATTTATCGTTTTTGTACTCGGTCGAGCGTACGTGATTGTGCACCCGGAAGAGGGGAAATAAAATCAAGTTAGATGCCAGGGGCCATCGCACGCGGCTTCGACTTTCAGTTGAAAATCCATTCTGTAAAAAGAAATTACGGTCTCTGGATTAATTAAAAATAAATCGAAGATCCAGGTTGGGATCGAGGTTACAAATAAAATTATTTATACTCGGGTTCATTGAATGGGTTTGGAAGATAAAATTGTTTAGACATCGCATAAATTTCAATCATTGATGGATCTGTTTGTTAAATCGTTTAGAAGCACAGGAACTTGTCGATTATTAAAATGAGTGATGCCTCGTAGGTTTCTATAAACAATTTTTCTCGGTTTCATAGGGAAAAAGTATGCGCGTTCTCGGTGGCATACGAGCCGAACACCGTTTAAGAATTACGATCCTTTCGCATCGGAGAGCGTTAGCGTTTTAACAGAATTTCAACTCTGTCTATTCCGCTGGAAGGAAAATCGATTACACGTTAGCCGCCTATTCGCCTCTTCCTCGACGACGAGAATTAATGTCTCGTGGAAGCAGATAAGATTCACCGAGTAAAATTTCATCGTTGGTTAACAGAATTTTATGTCCACGCGTGTACACAGAGATTCAAGTAAATTTTACCACGCGCCAATTCGTCTCGCCCTGCGTACATATTTACCCGTTCACTATCTACCGAGTATATTGTCGATGCATGTTGGATTTTCGATCAAATTCTAGTATCTGAGATTAGTTACGATTTTTAAATGAGAGAGAATAGTGAGAGTAACGTTTACATTCGTCTGGAATTAGGAACAAAGATTACGTACTACGTATACGAGTAGTACTTTTATCTTATGAATTCTTGTGTCTCATAGTCGACGGCACGAGAAATTAACACTGATTCGAATGTCCTCTCTGTATAAATAGTAATCGATTTTACGATTGTAATATTCAATAGCAGAAGGCATGTGATTGTGTTCACTGTTTTCTTTCAAACTCACCGATTTTAGACACGTCACTCGTACGTTCGACTTTTTTTTTTTATTTAAGCAATTTTAACTTCTCGTACAGGAAGTTATTTTGCAGAACAGTATAACAACTTAAC